TCACCATCATCAGCAGCAGCAGCATCATCATCATCACCACCACCACCACCACCACCACCATCATCATCAGCATCATCATCATCATCATCATCATCATCATCAGCAGCAGCAGCAGCAGCATCATCATAATCAACATCAGCAGCGTCAGCATCATCGACATCGACAGCAGTAGAATCATCGTCAACAACAACAACATCATCATCAGCATCATCATCGTCAACAGCATCATCATCATCATCATCATCATCATCATCATCATCATCATCATCATCACCATCATCATCATCATCATCATCATCATCATCATCATCATCATCATCATCAGCAGGATCAGCATCATCAGCGTCAGCAGCAGCATCATCATAATCAGCATCATCAGCAGCATCAGCATCATCAGCATCATCAGCATCATCATCAGCATCAGCCACATCATCAGCATCAGTATCCTCGTCATCATCATCAGAAGCATCCTCCTCATAAGCAGCATCAACATCATCATCATCATCATCATCATCAGCAGCAGCAGCAGCAGCAGCAACATCAGCATCATCACTATCACCATCATCAGCAGCAGCATAATCAGCATCAGCACCACCACCATCATCATAATCATCATCAGCATCCTCATCATCATCATCATCATCATCATCATCATCATCATCATCATCATCATCATTAGCATCAGCATCATCATCAGCATCATCATTATCAGCCTCATCATCAGCATCATCAGCATCATCAGCATCATCATCCTCATCATCAATATCATCATCAGCATCAGCATCATCATCAGCATCATCATCATCATCATCCTCATCGTCATCATCATAATCAGGATCAGCATCATCATCGTCGTCATCATCACCACCATCATCATCATCACCATCATCATCATCGTCATCATCATCATCTTCATCATCCTCATCCTCACCAAGCTCAGCATCATCAGCAGCATCATCAGCATCATCATCATCATCATCATCATCATCATCATCATCATAATCATCATAATCATCATCAGCATCCCCATCAGCATCCCCCTGGCCCAAGGTGCACCCAGCTTCTCGCTCCATGTTTGGAGCCCCCCCGGGGGCCCTCTGAGCCTCGCGAGGGGGGTGCCCTGGAGGCCGTGGGGGCCCTCCTTGGAAATTCGGGGGGGCACCGCGGGCCAGGGCCACCTCTTGATGAGCGCGTTTTCCACCACCACCACCGTAAGTTGGATGGGGCGAAGGGGGAGGAGGAGGAGGAGGAGGAGGAGGAGGAGGAGGAGGAGGAGGAGGAGGAGGAGGACCCCCCCTCCAACTTATGGTGGTGGTGGAAAACACGCTCATCAACCTCTGGCAACCTCCGAGCGAACTGGCTTCCCCCTGTAGGGACCCGCCGTGACTCCCGCTCTGCGGCCGCAGCACGGCAGCAGCTCTGCAAATGCCCGCGAAGGCCTCGAGAGTGTCGACGAGGGCCTGCAGGAGCGCGACGAGATTGACGCATACGTACGCACTGCTCCCTGACCAGGCCCATCCTGAAACCACGGCCTCCTGGCGTGGCTACACAGAGCTCTTGGGTTCAGGATGGGCCTGGTCAGGGAGCAGTGGATATGTATAGATTTCGTCGCCCCACCCAGGGCGCCCAACGGGGCCCCGGGAGGGTCTGGCGGGGCCCCGTCCCGACGCAGACGTCGCTGCGATGAGACGTCATCTCGATCTCGGGCCGGCCGAGTGCGCAGAGCCCTTGCTTGTTCGCCCAGGCGATGCAAAACGAGTCATCGGGAGCCTCGGCCGACGACTCCGACAATACAGAGCCGAAGTCACCAGAACAGATACGGGCCCTCGTCTGAGCCACACTGTCGCACCCTCTCGTCAAGTCCTGTTTTGTGTCATGTTTCATCCCCTCCTGCTCCTCGCCCCCCGCCTCTCAGTTCCCTCCTCCAGCTGACAAGTGAGCGACGACAAGAAATGGGTCTCACGCGAGATGACGTCGCGACCTTGCGCGGTGGCTCACCCAGGCCGCTAGCGCGGAACGCTAAACTCGAGACGAGGGCGCTTACGCGCGAACTCACGCGGGCAGCTTACGCGCCAAGGTCGGTAAAGACGACCCTGAGATCCGACGTTGCGAAAAAAATGCAACATCGTGAAAAATCACGACCGGGTCATTTCTCGAAAGGGATCGACCTGTGGGGGTCCCGGGACCCGAAGTTTGGCGAAAACGCCCGATGCGAAAAAAAGTGCAAGGCCAGGATCTCGGGGAGCGTCCTCGTCAACATCTTCGCCTCCCCCCTGCGCTGCCTCCTCGCCGCAGGTGTCACGGCAAGAAGCCGCACGGGCAGAACCTGTCGGAGGTCCGCGCAGAGCACGAAGCGCACCGCAGAGGCTCTCACGGCAATGGGGCTGGGAAGGCCTCGGCCTCCTCCTTCCCCTGAGATCCTGGCGTTGCACGTTTTTCACACTGGGTGTTTTCGCCCACCTTTGGGCACCGGGACCCTCACAGGTCGATCCCTTTTCGAAGAATGGCGCAGAAAGATAAGGTCCGGGGCTCCGGCCGTGACTTTTCCCGATGTTGCATGTTTGCGCAACGTCGGATCTCAGGGCCACTCCCCTCCAGCCAGAGCATGGCGACTTCTGGAGGCCGGCCGAAACGGCGAGCGCCACTTCCATAGTTCCATTGGACACCGACACCGCTGCTCCACGGACCTCTGCCTCGGGGGCTGCGTTCTGCGGAGGCTCTCTGGGCGAATCCAGCCATGACGACGGGGGACGGGCAGCGGCACGGTAAAGGCATTGGATAAGGAATCATCGGGTAAGGAATCCAGGCTCTGAAAGCCAGTGCACCAATTGAGGTTCGGCCATGGATACCACCGCCGCCCTCATCAGATAAGGAATCCTCCAATGACTGAGGCCTCCTAGACACATTCCTGAATCAACGCCCCAACAGTAGCGTGCTGGCATCTCAGAGAGCAACTCACAAAGGGTTTCGGTCGTACCCATGGCGCCCACTAGCGCGCCAAACCGCGCGCAAAGCGGACATGAAGCATCTCCCTCACATGGTGCTTGTGGGCGCTATCGGTCGCTATTGGGCGCTCCTTGAGCGCTACTCGAGGCTACTGGGCACTAGTGGGCGCTATTTGTCGCCATTGAGCGCTGCTGGGAGCTATTTGCCGATGCAAACTCGATCCAAGACGAGCGGACGCTTCCGTGACTTACAATCTGACGGTATCTTCTCCTCCTGCGGCCTGCTCCTCGATCATGGGCCAGGCCTGACGGACAGCATGCGGGCGAACGCGGACGCCCCGTCGCAGCACAGGAGCTCATCGGCGACGCGCGCGGCAACGCCACGCCAGGCTGCCGCGGCGCCGCCCGCGCCTGAGCCGGGCGGGGGTCGGTGTGTGCCCAGACCCCCGGGCGTGGTGATGTCTTCCTGGCGGGGGCCTCCAGGAGTCTGGCACGCTTGGGGCTTCACAGAAGGATGGGGGGGGAAGGAGAGGAGGAGTGGGGAGGCAATTTTGGTGCCCAAGCGTCAAATCTGACGACCTACCCCTCCCCCCCACCCCTTATCATTGCGCAGATCCCCTCTCTATTCGCACAGTCGGATGTCGAACAAGGCAATGATTTCGAGAGGGAACGCGATGCATGGCACAGCACGGCACGCATCGCGTCAAGAACGCGACGCATAGCGACAACACAATCAGAGGGAACCCAGAAATGACACAGGACGGGAGATGCAAATGGACGGTTTGGAAAGCGGGAAGCGCAAAATGAGATCAACGCTGAAGCGGGAGCACGATTTCGAAGGTCCGAAGCCGCGGAAATGAGAGCAGCGCTACAGCGGGAGCACGATTTGGAAGGACTGGAAACGCGGGAACGAAGCCAACTTTGCAGCAGGAACACGATCTGGAAGAACCGAAACAACAAAACGAGGCCAGCGCTACAGCGGGAACATGATCTGGAAGCACTGGGAACGGGAAAATGGTACAAACGCTGTAGCGGGAGCGCTCTTTTCGGCGCACCACCCTTGCAGACGTGCTGCAGCGGATTATTGCGTGGATTTCTGTCCATGCAAAACCCCGAATCGGCGAGTGAAAAAAATGAAGTTCGCGTGGGTTGTTTTTTGTCTTCATTCCTGGCCAAAAAATCCGCACGAAATCCACCTCGAACTCCAGAACGAAATTCTCCAGGACACTCCGGGGCCCATCCTATTGCATTCCAAACGAAATCCGCTCTGCGATGTGGGCGCCATGACTCTTCTGAAGAGACGGAAAACGCTCGGATTGGAAAAGCGCATCCGCATTCTTAATCCGGAGGCATCCTGCATGCAAAAAACGATACGCGGCGGAGGCCAGGACTCAGGGCACCTCGCCGGCGTCTTCGGAGAAGAGAAGAGGGCAGTGCTCACATTGTGCGGTTGCGGAAAGGAGGGAGGGGGGGAGGGAAGGGAGGGCGGGGGGGAGGGCGGGAGGGCGGGGAGGGCAGAAGGGGCCCAACTCCCCGACGTCGCGATTTCTTCCTGGCGGGTCCCCCCCCAGAAGCCCGGACCCCTTCCCTGGGACCGGCTTTTATCCTGAGCCGCCACCGAACAGCGTCTCACTAGAGGGCTTCACTGGATGTAATAATTACCCTGACGATGCCCCCAGCCCTTTCGCAACGGGATTGGATAGACGGAATAAGGTGGTGACAACGAGGCAGCGAGTACATGTCCTGCGCGCGTTACCTGGAAGACTCGCAGTTTTCGCGGCTGGCAGGAAACCGCTCGATGGTCAAAGCCTTGATGGAGATGAATTGCTATTCCCCTGGCTCGAAGGGATCGAGGGACGACTAAGAAGAGAAGGCGGACGAACGAGGATCTTGAAAAATCAACGGGGCAGCAGCAAGAGGGCATGGCAACAGGAAAAAAGGGAATGACGACGAAAGAAAGGCAGAGGAAGGAGAGAGACAATGCTTCGAGGCACGCCACCAATCAGTTGTAGTAAATACAGGAGCTGCGCGACGCCGAACTGCTCTGCCAGTTGCTGGGTACCACAGATTCCACTGTGGGATCTAAGGGCGCGCAGGCGCGCCGCTAGGTCTAATCTGAGTCCGCGTGGAACGTCACTATGCTGACCCCCCAGCAGACCTCGAAAGCGGCAACACTTTCGCAAATCGCAACCCCCCAGGGATCGCGAGGTCGAATCGGAGTCCGCGTATGGCGACTCTGTACTGCCCCCCCCCCCCCCCGCAGCATCCCTCGAAAGTGGCGACGGGTTCGCAGATCGCAGCCACCCAGGGATGGCGAGGTCGAATCGGAGTCCGCGTATGGCGTCACTATGCTGGCTCCCCCAGCGGCCCTCGAAAGTGGCGACAGTTTCGCAGATCGCGGCACCTTAGAAATGGCGAGGTCAAATCTGATTCCGCGGAGGACGTCACTGTGCTGGCCACCCAGCAGTTCTCGAAAGTGGCGACAGGTTCGCAGATCGCAGACCCCCAAGGATGGCGAAGTCCACTCAGAATCCGCGAAAGACGCCACTGCTGGCCTTGTTGCGACGCGCGCGCTGTGCGGTCGTGGCGCCGCGCGGCGGCGCCCAAAGCCTCGAGAGGTGGTGCCCGGCTCAGGCGATTGCACCTAATTGGGTGGGAGGGGGGCCCGCCACACACGACCCGCACAGGAGAGTGCAGGACTGCGCGTGTGACGACAGCATCCCTCGAAAGTGGCGACAGCTTCGCAGATCGCAGCCCCCCAAGGGATGGTGACGTCGAATCTGAGTCTGCGCAGGGGCGTCACTGTGCTGGCCCCACCCCAGCAGCCCTCAACATTGGCGACACTCGCAGGTTGCAGCCCCCCGGAGATGGCGAGGTCCGAGGTCGAATCTGAATCCGCGTATAGCGTCACTGTGCTGGCCCCCCCAGGATCCCTCGAAATTGGCGACAGTTTCGAAGACGTCGAACCTGAGTCCTCGTATGGCGACACTGTGCTGCCCCCCCCAGCAGCCCCCCGAAATGGCGACAGGTTCGCAGATCGCAGCCCCCGAGGTGGTGACGAGGCCTAATCTGCGTCCGCGTACGGCGTCACTGTGCTGCCCCCCCCCCAGCATCCCTCGAAAGTGGCGACAGTTTCGCAGATCGCAGCCCCCCAGGGATGAGAGAGAAAGAGAGAGAGAGAGAGGAGGGATGGAGGTGGGAAGGAGGAACGCGACCACAGTGCTCTTCTCAACGCAAGAACCCAACAGCAGAAGCATGGGAAGAAAGACGACACGAGAGTCCCACAGGGGGGGGCGGGGAGCCCGAGACCACCCAGGCTGGAAGCGGTGCGGAAGCCGCTTCGCCGGCGACCTCCTCACGATTGGATTCAGAAGTCGTGCTCGCGCGTCGGTGCCAGGCTATACCTGTTTGGTCCGAAGGGCCACGATCCCCGTTGGGAAAAAACTGCGGTGCACATGGCCGTGCCCTCACCCCTGTCAGGCCTGGAAGTTCCCTGGAGATACCTAGGAGTGCTCACGTGCACTGGTCGGCCTTATACAGTCGGGGGCCTGACCCAAGGAACCCCAAATAAGGAACGAGGCCCCTTTTTTCCAGAAGTGAAACTTCGATTTCCTATCGAAAACATAAGGAAAACCTGAGGCAAGCTGTGAAACACGTAAGGAACGCGGAGCCCCTCCCCAACCAAAAGGGTTCCTTCTTCAGGGCCCCGACTGTACTCCTCGACCCGCCTCTGCACCTTTGCTGCTATCAGGGTGCTTGGCTGGGCTGATCGGTCGTTCCTTCACGGTCCCGAGGCCCAGGAAGGGACCCTGGAGACTAAGATAGCGAAAAAACGTTCGCCACGACGGCGAGGGCATTGGAGAAGGAACCATCGCAGAAGGAGTACGGGATCTGAATCTGGTGGAGCTCCAATCGTCGATTGGCCATGGTCTGATATCTGACGTTGCCAAAAAGTACAACATCGCAGAAAACCACCATTGGAGCCATCGGCCCCATCTTTCTGCGTGACTGTTCCAGCTGGATCGACCTGCGAGGGTCCCAGGGCTCGAAAATCATGCGAAAACGCCTGTTGTAAAAAAATGCGGCGCGAGGATCTCGGGAAACGACCCTGCCGCATTTCTCCCGCAGAAAAAAACACGGCGACGCGGAGTTAGCTCGTGCGCGTGCCCTCCGCACCACGAGCCGAGCGGAAAGCGATGGCGAGGCAGAGAGAAGGGAGGAGAGCCAGGGCACGGAAACCTAAGGAGAGAACGGAGCGCAAACACTATAGAGGCCTCCCAGGTGGGGCCCGAGCACATGGGGTCGGAGGATCTCGCCACATCGCCGATGCATCGTCGACGTGGGCGATGCATCGGCGACGTCGACGTGGAGCAGATCGGGCTCCACATCGAGCCGCATCGCGGATGCATCATCGATGCGGCGCGATCATCCGACCACATCTGCTTCGACTCCATCTAGGAGGCCTAGAGACACGAGGCCGATGCACTGAAGCGCGGAAGTGCCCCTGCCGCATGCTGCTCACGACGCGAAGACTGGACGGTTTCCCCCGGGGCCGTAGGCGACCCGAGGAGGAGAGGGCGAGGAGGAGGAGGAGAAGGAGGAGGAGGGGAGGGCGAGGAGGAGGAGGAGGAGGAGGAGAAGGAGGAGGAGGAGGAGGAGGAGGAGGACAGAGGAGGAGGAGGAGGGGAGGGCGAGAAGGAGGAGAGAGGAGGAGGAGGAGGAGGAGGAGGAGGAGGAGGAGGAGGAGGACACGAGGAGGAGGAGGAGGAGGAGGAGGAGGAGGACAGAGGAGGAGGAGGACAGAGGAGGAGGAGGAGGAGGAGGAGGAGGAGGAGGAGGAGGAGGAGGTGAGAGGAGGAGGAGGAGGGGAGGGCGAGGAGGAGGAGGAGGAGGAGGAGGAGAGAGGAGGAGAGAGGAAGACGGGTCGCCTAAGCCCTTCGGAGAAACCCTCCACGGCAAAGGGCTGCTGGCAGCGCTCCGCTGCGCCCTCCCCGGTGGCGGCCCGGGCCGCCGCCTCGCGGGCGGCACGCCGAGAGACAGGCTGGGCTACCGTCGGCGAGCCCCGCGAGGACCCCAGGGCTAAGACGAGGTCAGGACGAGGACCCCAGACCTCCTCGCGCTGCGAAAAAAACACGACGGGAGGTTTTTCCATATTTTCTGTCTGCCTCCGGGGGGGCTTCCCGTGCTTCGGGACCGTCAAACAACGACTCAGGATGGAAAACTGATCCCGGGGAAGGGGTCCAGACCTCCTTGGGTCGACGTTGTGAAAAAATCACAACGTCGGGGATCTGGGACAGGTTCGTCGAGGACCTGTCGAGTAGGGGATCGACTGCAGAATTGAGGTACCCCAGAACTTATTTTCTCGTCGAGTCTACGTAGATCTACTGACACTCTACGTATATTTTCAGAGTTCTGAGGAAAAACAAGTTTGGGGTAAATCAATCATGCGGTCGATCCCCTACACGAACCTACTGACCCCGGTCGATCCAGAACTGGATCAGTCGGTTCTCGCAGGATCCCGCAAGATCATGCAGGATCCTGAACGCCCAAGCCCCGGTCCATGCGCCCCTGGCCCCGCGGGATCCTGCAAGAGCCGGCGCTCTGACTGACCCCCGTTTGCACTGACCCCCGTCTCTTGAGCCCCGAGACGGCACAGGAGCGCTCCACGAGGGCTCTGAAAGAGGAAAAAGAATACACATGCGCAGCCCTCCGCCCTAAGACGACCCCCCAGAGGACCGCCAGCAAGCCCTAAGAGACCCCCAAGACGCTCCCAAGAGGCCCCTTGGAGGCCCCCAGGAGTGCCACCAGGAAGCCCGAAAGAGGCCGCAAAAGGCCCCAAGAGGCTCCTATGAAGATTCCCTAGAGGTTCCCATGAGACCCCCAAGACAGGCTTCCAAGATCCATCCATGAGGCCCCCGACAGGCATCCCAAGATATCCCCACGTGCATCCAAGATGCCTCTGACCCACAACCCAGGCAGGCTGGCGGGATGAACCGAAGGTCTAAGCGTTGCCCTCCACTTACCTGCCAAACGTTTCGACCAACGCGAGATTCACACGACAACTTGGGGAAATGCTGACAGCCCAATGCGAGCGTCTCACGCCAACTTCCATAGCCCCGCAAGGACACGGGCAAATGACAACGATAATGCAACATGGGCTGGCGGAATGGGCGAAGCGCTCGAAGGAAAGAGGATCAATGGGCGGCCTCTCGGGGCCCGCCTGGTGGGCCTCTTGGAGCCGCCGTGTGCCGTCCAACCCGCGCAGAGATTGCTTATGCGTTCGACTCCTGTACATAGACTTTTTACACTGACGATGATAAGCCTTGCCAAGAAATCAATTTCTCTATATACAGATAGATAGCACCCCGCAGTTGCGGATAAGAGTGAGGGGGCGGCGGGGAAGGCGGCAGTCTGCGAGGCTCTGGAGAAGCCCGCCGCACGCGCCTAATTGTAACAAAGTATGCCACGAGTCCGCCGCAGACGCCGTTATTAATGTTAAAAAAATGTGTTTGGGTGGCGGGTGGGTCGCGGGTGGGTCGCGGCCAGGTCGCGGGTGGGGTCGCGGGTAGGTTACGGGTGGATCGCGGGCGGGTCGCGGGGTGGGTCGCGGGTGGGTCGCGGAAGGGTCGCAGGTGGGGTCGCGGGTGGGTCGACGGTGGGTCGCGGGTGGGTCGCGTGTGGGTCGCAGGTGGATCGCGGGTGGGTCGCGGGCCGGCCGGGTTGCCCGGGGGACGACGACAACAACAACACAACGCAACAACAACAGCAGCAGCAAAAACAACAACAACAACCACAACAACAATAACAATCACAACAACAATAACAACAACAACAACAACAACAACGACAACAACAACAACAACAACAACAACATCAACAAGAAGAAGAACAATAATAGTCAACTACCAACGACAAAAACGACAACAACAACAACAACAACAACAACAACAACAACAACAACAACAATAATAACAACAACAACAACAACAATCAGTATAAGACTGTTCGCTCTTATTTGCCCGTGTGTCATTCGAAACGAGTTCCCCACACCCTCGATACCTGCCCTTTCTGTATTTGATCACACCCCCTCTGGGGGATTCTTTCTCTTTGCAGGGGGCGGCGGGCTTAGACAGGCGGGCAAACCTGAACGGGCGGACCATCCTTCGTGGGCGTACATGTGCCCGCCATTGCCATTGGAATTGGTGTGGGCCCTGCAAAAAGAGAAGGGGGAGAACGAGGGAGAGTGGGAGGAAGGGAGGGGGAGGGACGAAGGAAGAGGGAAAACGCCAGGAGAGAAGGAGCGAAGAGGGGAGCGGTTGATTAGAGGCAGAGAGAGAGAGAGAGAGAGAGAAAAAAAAAAAAAAAAAAAAAAAAAACAGGTAAGAGAGGTAGAGAAAGAGAGAGAGGGAGGGGAGAGAGATAGAGAGAGGAGGGAGAACAACAAAAAAAGGAGGGAGGAGGCAGGAGAGGGGAGGGAGAAGGGAGGAGGGAATGAAGGTAGATGGGATAGGGCAGAGAGGCGTGAGGATGAGGGAAGAGAGGAGGGATAGAGAGAAGGGAGGAGAGAAGGGAGGAGGGAGGAGGGAGGAGGGAGGAGGAGCAGGAAGGTAGGAGCGTGAACAGTCGAGGAAGTCCTATAGGCGAAAGCGCCGTTCCTGAAGGAAGGCTCGGGCGACGGGCGCGCGATCCCCCTGACGGGCAGGTCGGGCGGGTGGGACATTCAAGCGGGATGCCTGAGTACACCCTGCGAGATGCTTAAGAAATCATGGGTTCAGAAATTCAGAGTCTCAGAACTTGAATAAAAACCCAAAATTCCCATTCAAACCTTAGGATTTACATTGAAACATTAAGAATAATCATCGCCTAAGGTGTATAGCGAGAGCGCGATTCCTAAGTAAATCGTGACGGCGTCCTTGGCGCCGCGTGCTTCCTGAGCGTCGAAAGCGACATTTCTGAATAGATTGCGTGGAAGTCCCAGGCGAGAGCGCAGTTCCTGAATAAGATGTGAGGGGTTATCTGGCGGGAGCGGGGGTCTTGATCAGACTGCAAGGAAGTCTTTACTCAAATATAAAGAATCTCAAGCGGGAGCGCCGTTCCTGAGTAAATTGTAAAGAAGTCTCAAATTGGAGCGGGGGTCCTGACTACGTTGCGAAGAAGTCACAAGCGGGAGCACCGATCCGAAGTAAATTGTGAGGAAGTCGCAGGCGGGAGCGGGGGTCCTGAGTAAATTTGGTGGAAGTCTCAAGCGGGAGCCGTTGTTGTTGTAATCCGGAGGGCCAGGGGTACAATTTAAGCACGAAGACTTTCCCTGTCAAAAAACAAGGTGCGAGCGTCGAGGGGCACACTTTGATTGAGAAAAAACAGCATGCACCGGTGAAGGGGGATCAACAATCTTTTTTCTTCTAAAATGAACATTCAACAACAGCAGCAGCAGCAGCAGCAACAACAACAGCAGCCACAACAGCAACAACAACAACAACAACAACAACAACAATACTAACAACAGCAATGATAACAACAAGCAGAATCCGCGCCGCGGAGTCCCACTTCAGCCATGCACCCAGGGACAGCGAATGCCCGTTCGACCCCCTCAATCTTACAAGGATATATTTTTCGTCGGAACTCCCTGAGCTTCTGTGGGTCCCAGGGGCCATCGGGGGATAGGAAACTTCCGTGGGGCACCTGCTGACAGGCCTCCGTGCCTTAGTTGACGTGCCTACTGTACGGATGCTGGACTGCAATTGCTTTCGTGGCGGCTGGACGTCTCCCCGATGGCTCGACAGACTTTTCCTCCGACGCGCAAGGAACTCCGGTCGACGGGACAGTGTTGGTGGAACACGCTCAAAGCTAATTGAACACCTCTGATGGGAGCGTGAGCAAAACAGTTGCTCTCGGCCAATAATGGCCGAAAGATGAAGCCACGCGAACCAGGACACACACACACACTCACACACACACACACACACACACACTTCACCACCCAAAACGCCCACAAATATCCGAACACCTCCTCGGCCACCCCTCCTCCTCGACCCTCGATCCTTGGGGGGGAGGAGGGGACCCAACTAGTGGTGGCATCCTTTGGCACAACTTTGCTTCTCTGCCGCTACCATCCCTAGACGATCGGTGTTTGATCAATGCCCATGCTGACGCCCCGACCCCATCAGAATCTGGCCTCCGGAGCGAAGCTTTTCCTACCCGGGCCCTGCTCCCCCCCTGGCGCCTGGAGAGGGGGCAGCAGCGCAGCAACGGGCACGGACCGAAGCTCGAACGCCGCGCTTCCGCCTCTCGAGGAACCGCACGGTGCCAACTCCGCGACTCCGCGGGCCCCCTCCTGGGGGCGCGTTCTGCCCAGAGTCTCGAGGCGCATCCAGCCGTGGCGGCGAGAGCCTCCCAGGAGGCCCAGAGAGGCGAAAGCGGGGGGAGGGCAGCGGCATTGTCCGTGCCTTCTTCCTCCTGCGATCTCCGACCCGGGCAGCCTTTCAGCGCCCGCGGCGCTTCCGCCGCCAGGGCGCGCAGGAAGCCCAGGCCGTAGCCGAGCTCGCCGCCGTCCGCCTCGCCGGCAGGAGGGGCCGGGGAGCGCGGCGCCCCGCCCCCGCCGCGCGGGCCAGCCAGGGCCAGCGCTGCAGCCAGGGCTGCGAGCAAGAGAATCCTCCTCCTCCTCCTCCTCCTCCTCCTCCTCCTCCTCCTCCTCCTCCTCCTCCTCCTCCTCCTCCTCCTCCTCCTCAAGAGGAGGCGAGTCGTCCTGGGGCGCAGGCCCGGACATCCGGCGACATCACTTGTTCCAGTGCGCGGCCTCGCTTGGATGACCGCGGGGGGGGCTGAGGGGACAGGAGGGGGGTTGAACTGGATGCTTCTCCAGCCGACGAGAGGGTTGCAAGCGTCCTGAGCGGCTTACGGGGGCAAAGATCTGCGCGAAGTGGGCAGAGCCCAACTACCAGAGTTACCCGACCCTGTTATACCACTTAGAGAATTTGCAGTCCACTCATAGGCAAGGGCTGGCCAGATATCACCCACCTTCACGTCCACTTACAAGCCCCCATCCCCCTTAGCAACCACCGCGATCAGCGGTCCCGACCCCTTCCCTGGGGGCCCATTTGTTTCGTCCAGCACTCCCTTTCTGATGGTCCCAAGGCCCGAGGACGGCCCCCCGAGGCTCAAAATCGAAGAAGAGCGCCAGGATTAAATAGAACATCGTCGGATCTCTGGGGATCGTTCGATTTTCTCTGGGGACACACAGATAAATAGACACAAATCCCAGGACTCCCCACATTTCCCATATATTTCCCCCCCGCTTCCCATAGGATCCCACGTGTTCCTGGGAGTCGACGATGAACCGTGTCTATGTGTGTGCTTTCCCCCTCCTGGCTACAGCAAGCGAGGAGCCTGCCTCGCGCGCACGGCCTCCCCCCCAGTGCGGGCCCCGCGGGGGAGGCTCGGAGACCGAGCCGGCTTCCATTAGATCAGGCGTGTCCCCCTACAGGCGGATTTTGGAAGATAAATTCAGAATCGACAAAAAATAAAAAACCATCCAAAAAAGAATCACAGAATCATCCCATTCTATTCTTTGGCTATTTTTGAATGTTCCTCCCGCAGGGGGACACGCCCGACTTAAGGCTTCCAGGGAGGATGCTGGGGAAGCGCTGGGCCAAAGCGGCAGGGAGAGGAGGCTTCCTCATCGGCGCAGCTGTACCTGCACTGGGAAAAAAAAGCGGCATGAGCATAGACTTTGGGCGCTCCGCGCGGATTTCTTGGATCCGCGCTGGGACCCCCCTCCCTGGCACGCGGAGCGCGCCAGTGGCGCCGCCGGAGGCGCCGCCGGGGGAGCCCAGCGCGGATCCAAGAAATCCGCGCGGAGCGCCAAAAGTTTATGTTTATGCAGTTTATTATTCTTCGATGCACGTCGTTCCGAGAGCGATAAAAACTGCAAGCTTCCCAACTGACGGGAAAGGCACTCCACCAAGCAGAACCTGCTGTGCATCTGCCCTCGGCTGCAGAGTCAGCCGAAATTTGTGTCACGAAATGTCTGGCCACTCTTGGCCTTGCTCGCTTCTGATTCGTCCTTGTCCCCCGGCTGCGACCAGGTGCGTTCCTACAAGGTTACTCATGCGCGTAGACCATAACTGCAAGTTCGTGCAGCTACGCGCGAGGCACCCTATGTGTGGACCCCTAGTCCCTAAGCAATGGTAGCCCAGGTCATTATTTCTTTATTTCTCTTACTTGAGGAATTGGCTGGGTGTGCCAGGTTTTCGGCTGGTGCCCACTGAGTGGGCGTCAGTGGGCGCCTCGTGGGCGCCTCGCGCGCTGCGTGGGTGTGGCGAGGCTTCGCCTGGTGCCCACCCGCCGGTGCCTCCCAGGCGCCTCGTGCGCTGCGTGGGTGTGCCGAGGCTTCGCCTGGTGATCGCCCGGTGGCGCCTCTTGGGCGCCTCGTGGGCGCCTCGTGCTCTGGGCGGCCACTCGGATTGCACTGCATAGCTTCTACCACACAGCTTGCACGACATAGCTTACACCACACACGTTACACCACATAGCGTACACCACACAGTTTACGCTACTCGGCCAATTGAATCTTATCCGCCACCGTGCCTTCGGCACGTAGTGGAGTGCCCCATCCTCATGCAGCTCTGCGGGGGCTTGTGGTTCTGAAGGGTCCAGACCCGCGGTGTCCCAGGCGCTCCCAGGCAGTACTGCGCCCTGTTGAGGTGTGTCGCCTAGGCTTTTGGGGCGCCGAGGGAACCCTAAGACGGGCCAAGTGGACCCCTGGAGGCCCCCAAGACGGTAGAGGAGGGTCCCGAGTCGTCGAACGATCGGTCCATGACGCCCAAGATGGCCTCCAGTCGGCCGCAGATGTCCCCAAGACGCCCCAAGAGGGCCCCAAGAGGCCATATTCAATGATGTTCCATCGATTTTGGAAAGGTGTTGGCGCTCTCGCCTTTTCGGCTTCCCGACGCTCCAAGACGGCCCAAAAGGCTTTCAAGACCGTCCCGAGGCGGCCCAAGAGGCCTCCAAGAGGGCCTGATAACGGCCCAAAAGGGCTTCAAAAGGGCCCAAGAGGTCGCCAAGACGTCCCAAGCGCCCCAGAGGCCCCAAGACGCCCCAAGGAGCCCCCTGGAAGCCCCAAGAGGCCCCCAAGAGGCTCCCTGGAGGCCCCCAGGAGGCCCCCAAGAGGCCCCCAAGAGGCTGCCGCGAGCGCTCCGAAGAAATTCCAAAAAGCAGAAATCATTCCTAGTACGCCGACCCGTCGGCGTGTGTGAGTCGTCGTCGTCGTCGTCATCGTCGTCGTCGTCGTCGTCGTCGGCGTCGTCGTCGTCGTCGGCGACATCGTTGTCGTCGTTGTCATCGTCGTCGTCCTCGTCCTCGTCCTCGTCCTCGTCCTCGTCCTCGTCCTCGTCGTCGTCGTCGTCGTCCTCGTCCTCGTCCTCGTCCTCGTCGTCGTCGTCGTCATCGTCGTCCTCGTCGTTGTCGTCATCGTCTCGTCCTCGTCGGCGTCGTCGTCGTCGTCGGCGACATCGTTGTCGTCGTCGTCATCGTCTCGACCTCGTCGTCGCCTCGACCTCGTCGTCGTCGTCGTCGTCGTCGTCGTCGTCGTCGTCGTCGTCGTCGTCGTCATCGTCGTCCTCGTCCTCGTCTCCAGTCCAGTCCCAAGAGAACAAGTCACGAACAGAGAAAAGAAACGTCGTAGTTAAGTCGATGACCTCCCCTTTTCTCCCTCCCTGACGGGTGGGGGGTGGCACGAAGGAGGGGTGGCACGAAGGGGGGGTGTTCGGGGGGGGGGGGGTCCGGGGGGTGCCCGGGGGGGGTACCCGGTCAGATTGCCGCCCCCCCGGGGGGTCCTGGCTGGCGGGTCCCAGGGGGGTGGTACGAAGGGGGGTTATACTGTACGGGGGGTGTCCGGGGGGTGTCCAGGGGGGGTACCCGGTCAGATTGCCGCCCCCCTGGGGGGTCCTGGCTGGCGGGTCCCGGGGGGTTCCCCGTGGACCTGGGGACATCGGGGCGATCCCATCTGGGCGGCTCGCCGGTTGCGGTCCCATGGGAAGTCCCGCTTGTGAGGGGGGGGAGGGCCCAAGTCACAATACCGCCCCCCCCAGATTCTTCCCAGCGGGTCCCGGAGAGGGGCGTCACCGGGGGTCCTGGGGGAGGTCCAGCATTCAGGGTCGGCGGCACCAGCCGTAAGGCCTTCACAATCCTCACGGGGAACGCACAGGTTTAGCAAGTCGGCTCCAAGAGCGGGCCCAGACGGGGGACCCGAAGGAACATTTCGAGCACGAGACCCCCCAGGAGGCCCCAAGAGGCCCCCAAGAGGCGCCCAAGAGGCTCCAAGACGCCCACAAGAGGCCCCCAGGAAGCCCCAAAAGGCTCCGAAGAGGCTTTCCAGAGGCCCCCAGGTGGCTCCAAAAGTGCCCCCCAGAGGCTCCCGCGAGCGATTCGAATGGAGTCAACATCCGCAAGGAAATCGTATGTTTTTAGCAAGCTCGCTTTTCCTGGTCATCACTATGCCCACGGCCACCCAAGTGCCCCCGCAGATCTCCTCAAGACGGCCCAAGGAACCCCAAGAGATGCCGACGACCGCCCCAGAGGGTTCCAAGACCGCCCGGGATGCCCCCCAAACACCCAGAAATCTCTCAAAGGTACTTCGCCCGCGCCCCAGGCACTGTGGCGGGATGGGCCGCACCCCACCAGGATATATGTAAGTCGGGCGTGTCCCCCTACATGGGGATGTTGAGCGAAAAAGTCAAAATACGCACAACAACATATCCAAAATACTGAGAAAGAAAAAATAATTATCCCGGCAAAGCAACCTAACAGCGATGTGTAGGAGCATATCTGGAAGCATTCCCCTTAAGATTCGGATGGGAATCCAGTTGTAGAATTCTGCTGTTCTCGCAGTCGTAGTCGCATTCGCGATGACAGTCGCAGTGGCAACGGCAGTCGCAGTCACAGCCTCAGCCTCAGCCTGCCTCAGCCTCAGCCTCAGCCTGCCTCAGCCTCAGCCTGCCTCAGCCTCAGCCTCAGCCTGCTTCAGCCTCAGCCTCAGTCTGCCTTCAGCCTCGGCCTCAGCCTCAGCCTGCCTCAGCCTCAGCCTGCATCAGCCTCAGCCTCAGCCTCAGCCTGCCTCAGCATCAGCCTGCCTCAGCCTCAGCCTCAGCCTGCCTCAGCCTCAGCCTCAGTCTGCTTCAGCCTCAGCCTCAGTCTGCCTTCAGCCTCGGCCTCAGCCTCAGCATGCCTCAGCCTCAGCCCTGCAGCCTCAGCCTCAGCCTCAGCCTGCCTCAGCCTCAGCCTCAGCCTGCTTCAGCCTCAGCCTCAGTCTGCCTTCAGCCTCGGCCTCAGCCTCAGCCTGCCTCAGCCTCAGCCTGCATCAGCCTCAGCCTCAGCCTCAGCCTGCCTCAGCATCAGCCAGCCTCAGCATCAGCCAGCCTCAGCCTCAGCCTCAGCCTGCCTCAGCCTCAGCCTCAGCCTGCTTCAGCCTCAGCCTCAGTCTGCCTTCAGCCTCGGCCTCAGCCTCAGCCTGCCTCAGCCTCAGCCTGCATCAGCCTCAGCCTCAGCCTCAGCCTGCC